ATTTGGTGATGTCTGAAGATATTTTGGTTGTCACAAATGGAGTGAGATTACAATGTGTATCTAGCAGGTCGCATTGGTTTCCATAACAAATTAAGTCAGTGCCATAAGAAACTTGCACAAATGTGATGGCTTAAAACAAGATATGTTGGGATAGGCATTTGGCACAGCAGTTAAAATGCTGCTTGGGACACCCACTTCCCACATTGGAGTTTAAATTCCAGCTCCCCCTAAATTCCTGTTTCCTGCTGAGGTACACTCAGAGGCAGCAGGTTGCAGTTCAAGTATTTGGATCCCCGAAACCTATGCGGAAGATCTGGATGGAATTCTGGGCTCCTGGTTTCAGCCTGGCCCAGCTCCAGCTGTTGTGGGCATTTGGGGAGTAAACAGATAAAAGATCTCTCTCTCGCTCTCTCTCTCTCTCTCTCTCTCTGCCTCTCCTCTCTCTGTGTAACTCTAACTTTCAAGTAAAATAAATAAATCTTAAAAAAATTACAATCTAGGTCAAACAGCCTCAATATATATAACATTTCTATTCAAGATGATATAATCCTTTGGAAAACAGTACCTACATAAACTGAAGACCATTTCTCAGCTATTTATTTTTTAGCTTAATGCCTATGTTAACTCAAGCTTTCTCAGAAAAAGTTCAATGAATTCTTTGTGTTTCCCTTCAAACACTCTCAAGCTAACAGGAAAGTTTCAAGAACAGAGTATTTTCTCCTGGAACTATCTTAGTGAACTCATAACCCATGACCCTTTAAAATACTGCTAAGTATTTCCTATGAAGGACATTCCCCCACACCACCCTAACACCGTCATTAAAACCAGGAAACTATCATGAGTGCATGAACATCTCATCCCCACACTCCAGGTAGGTTTCCCTGTAATGGACTTTTTAGCAAAATTTCCAACTCAGAATCCTTGCCATTAGCTGCCATATCTCCAGTCTCCTTCACTCTGGGACAGCTCCACCAACTCCTAATTTTTGTGACTTTGATACTTACTGAAATCCTAGGACACTTTTATTGTAACATAATTAGATTTCAGGCAGACACCCTTGGCAAGAATACCACAGAATTAATGCTGTGTTCTTATCATTGTGTTCTATCAGATGGCACACATTTTCTTTCCCTTCATGATTTGATTAAAATTGTGTCTTGCCAGGTTTCTCCCCTATAAAATTACTCTTTTTTCTTTGTGTTAATAATAATTTTATAGAAAGTGACTTTAAAGCTATGTACTCTTTTTTGCCCGTCAAACTTTCTATTAATTCATTTACATTGGTATGTACTCATAAATTCTGTTATTATTGGTATGGTTATAATCTACCAGTACCACCATTGATTCTGAGACTCAGTTTGTTCCAGATTTGTCCAGTGGGAACCCCTTCACACTGGCTCCTGAACCCTTTTGACATGACTCATCATTCTTCAAGCACTTTACTACTGTCTGACACAAGATATTCCATGTTTATATAATACTTTTCCATCCCAGCCCTGAAATCAGCCATTTCTCTAAGAATTCCAGCTTACTAATAGTAAAAAATCATATTGAGAATCCAAGTTGTGGATGCTAAGAATACTCATTACTACTAGGAAGCCACAGGTCCACATCAGGGGACATGTTAAGAAAATACACTTACATGTTCATAACCACACATATACAACACATATATAATGTGTATAAAATACATACATAGACATGTGTATACATCATACATTATACAAAGAGACACATTTACATCTACATATTGATGTATAGATACAGACACAGGTAAGGAGAGATTTGAAGTCATGAATTCACACTGATAATACAAATTGCAATTAAATATCACGGGGCACATGTTGCTTTCCCCACTACTTTTATTTTCACCTCTGTAGTGACAGCCTGGATCCTGTCATCCTCACTAGACTTATCTTGATCAGTTCTCCAGCATATACGTAACTCATCAACTGCTACTGCCACACCTGTCCATACAGAGAAGACGGCTCCACTTCCTGCACTGGTCTGCCCTCCTACCTGCTCTATCTTAATGCTTTCCTGGGAATCAGACACCACTTGTCTGGTTGACCCAGCAGCGAAGCCTTGTCCCTTTTCTCTGCTCTGAGACCCTCTGCCAAACCACCCCTTCGCAGGAGCGCCCTCCTTGCTCGAGCACTCCACACTGGGCCACCCTCCTACCTGGATGTCAGCTGGATGAGCTTCAGGCTCTGATACCAGGAATTGGGCCCGTTCAGCTCCACCCCCCAAGTGAGAACGCCCCTTGTCTCTTGGCCATCTAACGGCGAGATGACCCTTTCAGGGACAGTTGAGAGGGAGAAGGGAAGGAGGAAAGAAAGTGACAACTGCAGGTGGCATTCAAAATTCAACAAATCTATAGCCGGCTAATTTTTAAGTTGATAATTTTGTGTGGTCCATGAATGATGGTATAAATACTCAAATGGTCCTTGGCAGAAAAAAGGTTCCCCACCCCTGCCCCAGAACTTCATAAGATGACCCCATTTGGAGATAGATAACCAAGTTAAAATGAGATCATTTCAAGTAACTTCACTGCAAACATTTTTCAAAACATACACATAATCTGCTCCCCCAATTGGTTCTCTGGAATAATAATAATGATGGTGTTTAAATACAAACAGACACGTAATATTTCTCCTTCACAGAGATATTTTATATGTCATACTTAATTTCAAAGCCCTAAAAGAGTGAAGCCACGACCCTGTGCCTAACTTCATTCCAGGCCTCAGATGTCAGTATGTCCTCCAGCTCAAATCAAACATTTCAACTCATACGTTGCACTGTCAAAGTTCCAAACGTTCCCAGGCATAACCAGTCACTTTCCACTATTGTATATTGTATTTAAGCTTTGTGTTTAGGAAAGCAGGTTTTGGAATCAGATTAGCTATTGCTAAATTTCCTGCTCTGCTGCTTAACCAAGTATGTGTACTTGGGCAATTACTTAACCTAAACCCCAATTTCCTCATTTGAAAGCCAGGAACAATGAAATCTAACTCACAGAGCTATGAATTAAATAGTGCAGTCCCTGCATACATTTGTTATATAACAAACATAGTAAATATGTTACATAATTACATAATAAATCTGATAACTATTTTTATTATTGTAATTTGCTCCACAGCCTGAGGTTAACACAACACGTGTCTCCAAGTAGTTCAAAGCATCTACATAGAAAATGTCCAGCAAGCCTCAAGAAGATTCTTCATCAAACAGGAAACTGAATCTCATGGAGATTAGTGCAGAGTCAAGAGAACAAGCTGAGGTTGCCTGACAATTTGTAATTCTAGCTCAAAATTAGATACTAACTCATGCCTTTTAAACGGCACATTGTTTCATAATTTTAACTAAGAGGAGCTACAAGCACAAGACTTACACATATTTCCCCCTTTCATTCACTCTAGTTATCGATATCTTCATTTATTCCACCTACTATTATTAGTTATTAATAATACTTATTATTAATACTAATACTTATTACTAATTAATACTTATTACTAATTAATACTTATTACTAATACTAATTATTAATACTTATTAATAATACTACTTATTTTCTCTAAAGAGGTCTATCTGCTCTGGATATTAACTTAAATCTGATGCCAACAGAATCGCTATCTACCTAATAGTACAATCTCTTGTCCTATCTTTTAAGGGAGTGGGTTCCACTCTGCTTATGTTAGAATCATATGAAGCAGTTCCTGAACTTCCTAATATCTGGGCTGAATTCCAGGGTAAGTGAATCTGCTTCTGCCAACAGCACCCACGCATTTGCGTTGTTAAATCTCTCTGGTAATTCTGACACAGCCAAGGAGAATCACGATTCCAGGATCAACCCAGAATGCACTGCTTCTCAGAACTTCAAGATTGTGAAGCAAACAAATCATGAGAGCTACTCAGAGAGGGAAAATACCCTGGAGATTCTCTACAAATGGTGTAACTGAAAAGGGATAAGGGGTGTGAAACAGCCCAAACGGTTTACCTTTGAAAAGACACTGTTAAAAGAGTGAAAAGTTTATCATTTGATTATCTTTCCATCTTTATGGTATGTTACCAAAAATCTCTGTGGTATCACCTCACAACAATATATTCCTGTAAAAGGGGGAAACCTTTGTTTACAATAATGTCCTGATTTTGGTAACTGGTGGTTGATTTTTACCAGTTTGAAGGATGCCGGTGGTGTTATCCTCACTGACTGCTAATGCTAACAGATTTATTAGCACAGACACTTGCATTAGAAAGTAAGCTAAAGCTTTGGAACAGTTCGACATAAAAAGTATAAACAGGTGATGCTGAAGTGGTAAATTTGCTGTTGTCTTTGGTAAGGTTTTGCACATAAATCTCTCTGTTGCTTCAGTGTCTTAAATAACAAAGCCCAAAACCGTCACTACCAAAAAATAAAAATAAATAAAATGTTTTTTTTTTCCCCAATGACCATAATGTGAAAATTAGACAGACACATGATCCTACTGTAAGGTGTGTGGGCTTTGTCTGATTCGTTATGACGTTTCTTCCACCCAGCTCTAAAACCCAGCCTCAAGGCCAAGTCACCTGCCTGGAAGAGGAGGAAAAGCAGTGACATTTGAGCCTTACCCTCGATTTAAGTGAAGGGAGCTGGCCTTGGAGAATGTGACCCTTAGAAATCCAGACACCCTAGCCCCGCACCCACCCACACACCCGTCGCCCTCTTCCTAGGCTAAAAACAGCCCTGCCTAACACCAACACCCCCGAACTGCCAGACGTGGTCCTTTGGAGTCGCCCCACAGAGCCCCGGGGAGCCAGAGCCGCCCAGTTCCCTCGCTCAGCAGAGGTAGCCCGAGTGCAGCCAATGGGAGGCCGCCGGCACCGCCCAGCACCCGCCCGCGCCTGCATCCCCGCGCCTCTCCCCATCGCCCCTGCCCGGGATGCCCACGGGGACCCAAGCCTCGCGCGCTCCTCCCTGCACTCCCTGCACGCTCCCCAGCCGGCCCCTGTTCCCATCACACCTGTAGGCTGGCTGTCCGCCAAGCTCGGGCGCGCTGCAAGGAGGAGGCACAAGAGGAAGTGCAGCCGGGGCGCCCGGGGACACTGAAGGCCAGTGAGGGCGCGCATGGCGCTGGCGGGTCCGCAGCCGTTCTCGTCGAGGCTGCTACCGCGGTGAGTCGCCGACGGTGTCCGGAGCCCTGGCGCACACTCGCCGGTAGTCCAGGGCCCACTGCCAGTCCCGAGGGCAGGACACGCGAGAAAAGGCGGAGTGGGAGGGGCCCAGCCGCCCTGCCCTCCCCCCCCCCCCCCCAGATGCTCTCACCGCGCCCGGGGCCGGCCCAGCACTGCGCCCGGCCCTCCATCAATTATGCAGCCGCAAGCCGGCTGCGGGCGCGCCCGGATGTGCAGGGCCGCGGTGCTGGCGCATCCTCTGGGGCCTCTCGCAGGTCGGAGAGGGAGCTTGGGGTGCGACAGCTAAGCTTGACCTGAGAGAGGTTGAACCCCCACCTCGGAGACTCTCCCTGGCGTTCGTCAGAGGCCAGTGCACGAAGGAGAGGGGAGAGGACACTTTTCTGCGCCCCGGACATCATCAAGCTTCCTTTTGAAAGAGGCTCATTGTTTGGCTCGTGCGGGGCGCGCTCCAGGTGCCCTACAGTCTGGCTCTGCGCTCTGCCTGCCAATCACACACACCCTCCCCTCCAGTCCCTGAAGGCTTAACTGGTTCTGTCCAGATTAAAGTTCCAGAAGCCCAAGGTCCCACAGTGTATCTGTCCTTATTTTCCTATTGTTTGCTTGGCCTAACAGTTTCTGAGAACCACCTAGAGCTCAGGAAACAAAACTTACAGTAAGGAGATACTTTGTAAACAGCACCCAGAGGCTGGCCTTAGCCTACAGAACGGGTGTTAGGTAATGCTGTGCCGTACACAGCAAGGCGATGATGATTGCTCAGTGCTCCCGACCACGTTAAAAGACAAAAAGTGGAAGAAAAGAAAAGAAACTAAAAATCATTGTTGCATTGGGGATAAAAAGGAGAACTCCACATTATAACATCAAAGAGCAGTAAGATTTGATGATTCATCGGGATGTAAGAACACATTAACAGATATTATGAATTTTGAAGATTAAGCTACAGAACAAGAGAGCTAAACCTACCCCACAGAGGTGGTTCATTTTCAGTTGGTAAATATTAGTAAAATGTGCTTGGGGCAAAACTTTGAAAGAGAGGATAGATTATTCAAATCGGCATTAAAGAATATGAAGGATACGATTTAATCAGCAATATTAAGTACTACCAAATGCCAGGCACTGTGCTCAAAATAGACTGCGTTTACAGCAAGGAGCTCATGCAAGATAATTAACCCAGAGAACTATTGATCTGAGGACTACCAGTCTGTGAAAGGCCACTACTTGCCAGGAAATTATGCTTATGATCACTTAACTTTCCTGAACAGATCCTCATGAGAGGCCATGAAGGACCCACAGTTACACTCTGTGACCCTCTGAACACCTTCACTGAGCTTGCTCATCCAATCAGGTTTTTGTCTTGGTACCCTGCATATAATTTCAGGACTAATTACCAACATGTCCTTATGCCTTTGGGGAGTTTTAACAATAAGTGCTTCACAGAACAAACTGAGCCTGACTGACTCTTCCCAATTAGTCCTACAAAATCCTCAAGCTCAAATTCACCCTTCTTCAAATGAGCTGACTTCATTTAAGGAAAAATTGTCTTTCCTGTCAAATCAGTCTGTCTGAAAACTTACTCAAGTTGAGGCTAATTCCCACTGCCACTTCTGTTAGAGCAAAGTAAATTGAGAAGGAAATATAATACTTGTTTTGCTAAGCACTGTGAAAGTCTTTTCACAACTGTCACTATTTCATATTTAATGTGATTTTCCCCCTTGTGCCCATTCCACTTTTTCAAATACTCTGTAACCTTTCAAACATTTATCTACTGTCTTTCCTGTACAGCTTTCTCTGACCTTTCCCTTCTAAATTGACCTTTACCTCCACGTAGAGCTAAATGCGGCCACACATGCTTTGACATGCTCCTCGTCCTCAGGCATACTGAAGAGGAAGGAAGTTCCTGTTTTTCCCTTGACTGGGATGGGTTCTGGGTTTCCACTGACGCACTGAGTGTTGCTGCAGTAATGTCATGCACGAGATTCCTGCTCTAGACCACAGAGCTTCCGCTGCCTTTTCTCAAACGCCTCCCACTTAAAGGACAGCCTCCAGGTAGAAGTACCATGACCCAGAGACCACACCGTGAGAAGCCCAAACTACACGAAGGGCCGTGTCAAACCAAATCATCTCAAGTGAGTAAAAGAAATGTTAGCATGCAGGAGAACGGTTCATGAATTGGGAGACTGCAAGCAAAAAGTGATAAAATGCTAAGCTCAGTTCACAAGTGTTATAGCACAGTTTATAAATCATCAGTGAGGAAATGCACGGATCTCTATTCCGAATGGTTATTAAAATCTTAGCACTCCTTTTAGGGCAGGTAGAACCGAATGAACTTACTTGGTTGTAGCTGATTGGTTCAATTTTATCATATAATGGAAAGAAAAACGAGTGCTTTGCAGGGCTCCCACATTGATGGCAGGCATTGAAAAACTTAAGCCATCTCCTGCTGTCTCTCAAGATGCACACTATCAGGAAACTGGGATTGAGAGCAAGGCTGGAACGCAAACCCTGGCACTCGGACATGGGATGTGGGCTTCCCAACCAGAGTCTCAAGGTCTAGACAAGATGCCTACTTGAGAGCTTATTTTTTATATGGTTGGAGTTTGCATTTCAGACAAATCAGGATAGCTTAAGATACTGTTATATGGCCATGGAGTGATTGGCGTAGGGACATAGCCAAACTTTTTTTTTTAATGGCCTCCTTTTTTTTTATATTATACTTTAACAATTCTGTCTCCCGTTTGGTCATCTTCTCAGTTGAACTGAGAGTTTGACCAGCTCTTAAGCACTACTCTTAGCCACATGTTGTTTCTTTTTTCGTGGTCATGAAAAGGTCACAAATGGGGTTTTGGTAGGTTCTCCAAATGATTCAAATTCATGCAGTTTTTGTGTTCAATCCTCATGGAGATCACCTGATGAATCAGTGACTGCTGACTGCTGACCAACATTTAGGACTCCTGAGAAAACGCAGCACCAGGAATGTTAATATGACTAACAACATGGTAACAAGAGTTTGGAAAATACCTCAAAGCCACAGTCCCAGACAGCTTTGATACAACCAACTAAATATCAGTTGATTGTGGACTACTGGGATCTGATCTTTTAGATGGGACCCCAACAACCTTATTGTTTCATTCACAAACAACATGAAGCATAATTGTAGGATCCTAATGGAAGAGGACTTTTGTAATGCCTGTTTTAACTTCAGTAAAGGCCTCCTTATGATTTCTTTCTCAAAAGAGATGCTCTCAGCATACTATTTCTAATTAAGTCATAAATTGGAGAGACTAGTATAGAAAAATGAGGAGGCCAGCATTGGGGCATAGCAAGTAAAGCTGCCCCTTTGGGACACCAGCATTCCATGGGTGCCAGTTCATGCCCAAGCTGCTCCAGTTCTGATCCAGCTCCTTGCTAATGGCCTGTGAAAAGCACTGGAAAATAACCCATCTTCTCTCACATGGGAGATGCATATAAAGCTCCTGGCTTCAGCCTGCCCCAGACCTGGCCATTGCGGGCATCTGGGAAATAAACCAGCAGATGGAAGATTCTCTCTCTCTCTCTCTCTCTCTAACTCTGCCTTTTAAATAAATAAATCTTTATATATATATATATGTATATGTATAAATTATGGATCTAAGACCAGCAATATCCCACAAGAACACCGAACCCTCTGAGCTGCCTTTTAGTCACTGATCTGGGATAATTTTGGATAGCTTTATTTTCCTACTGCTTTTGCAGCAGATAAGCCATGACCTAGATAATGTCCCAGGCCTTATGAGAACTAAAGCTTATCTCAAGAGGCCTATGGCCCTGATAAGCCAGTTGGTATAATAGATATACAGAATCCATTTCTGAGTCCTCCTAACATGAAAAGAAAAAAAAAAATGGAGCATCCACAGAGTGAATCAAAGTAGATTTTCTGGAAAATTGCAGTGTTCAAATCCTGATCAAAACTTGTGAAGAGTATGAGGGAGTCACAGTTGATTCCCAGTGCATCACTGTCCAAGAACATTGTTGATTTTTACCAAGTAAAACAAATATTAACACTCTTTGTCTACAGGAAAGCTAAAAAATAAAAAACAAATAAGGGAGTATAATTCTACTGTGAACCACACACATTCAGTTGGCACCATTTCCAGCAAAATATTTAGATTTGGTACCACTGGAATCTTCGTACTATAATTTTATTGAGTCTTAAGGTCCTGTAAGTCTCCATCCCTGTTCACAGGATTTCTTGACAGTTGTGATAAGAGTTGGCCAAGGATTATAGAATGAAAGTGAAATAATTAGTCCTTCATTTAGTAGGTCCTCCATTATCAGCATGAGTTTCTGTGGGTCTCCATATTTTTTCAAGTTTAGAAATAGTTTAAGGGGCCAATCAGAAATTTAACAGACTTGGTGCTTTTAATCTTTCCCATATGTGCAGAATAAGAAGCCCACAGACTGTCAAGACTTGCAGAAATGTGTATGACTGTATATTTATGATATTTAACAGTTTCTTTAGGACAATCAGTTTGAGCCTAAAGAACCAACAGTTTGCATTATCTGATGGATCAATTTCTAAGGTTATTTTCTCTTAAGAAGAATTTATTTAGACTCCCATAAGAAAGCAAATCTCTACCTAGGAGATTCACTGGGGCAGCATGATATCATAAAAGATGTGATTTTTAGAAAAATGGCCAAGAGTGATAGATATGAGCTCCAATAAAGGAGACCTTTGAATTTTCACCACTGAGATATTTTTATTGCACTGAGGAAGTCCTTGAGATATCATGGTGAAGGTTAAAATAGAGTTACTTTGGGAACTCTTATCAACATAGTATGAATTTCTGCATTTATTTTAAATTTAGTTTCTCCTTGTAGATTTAAAGAAATTATTGGAGGTAGCTAATCAGGGAGTTCCTTGAAGCAACATAAACATTGACGTTGTTAAAGGAATGTCATGGTTGTTCCAATTTCCTCTTATTCAGCAAAGGACAGCCTTTTTTCAGTGCTTTTTCTGCTCACAGTAACCCCGGGCTTCTCTATCAAACTTGGACATAGTTTTTTAAATATTTATTTATTTAAACATTAGTGTGTCAGACAG